TGTGTGTGTGTGTGTGGGGTGTGGTGGTGTGTGTGTGTGTGTGTGTGTGGGTGGGTGGGTGGGTGGGTGGGTGGGTGGGGTGTGTTGGTGTGTGTGTGTGTGTGTGTCTGAGGCATTGCGTGGGGCCACTGGTTTGTCACCTTTGGACATGCCCATGCTGAGGATGACTAATGATAAGGCCGATTGCAGTTGGCTTCAAAGTTCGAGCTCCAGCCTAATACATAAGAGCATCGTTGCAGAAGAGTTGGCTGATTTGGCAGGTTCACTCTGCAACCGTCTGCAGGCACGAAGCCAGAGAGCGGGTTGCCACCTCATGCACTTCGGTGCAAGTTGATCGTCGAAAACCATTTCGTGGGTATATAGATCGCACAGGCAAAGTGGCATGGGTGATGTGGTGGATCTATGACAGAGTCGCTGTGTGCGGTCCCAGATGAGATCAGAATGGCTCAGATGTCATCGCCGGCGCTTGTTTCCTTGCAGAACTCCCGATAGTCAGTATCAGGAAATTGAGAAACACTGCCAATGGACCTCCTTGCAGGAGAGCGATGGCCTCGGCCTCTGTCAGCAGCTTCCTGCATGCACTTCACCCCTGGGCCGCCTGGGCCGCCCTGGGTCTGGTCCCCTGGTCCTCCCCCCGCCGCCGTAGAGAGCCAGTTCGGCGCGGCGCAGCCGCTCGTCGAGCTCCGAGTCTCCTAGGCGCTCTCTCCACTCCCGAATAGATGGGGCCCTGGGATCCCTGGGGCAGCAACGTAGCTGCCCGACCTTGATCCAGGCAGTGGCGTGCAAAGCCACAGTGACATGCAAGGCAATTGATACGAGTCTGGGCGTGCGGCGTATTTTCTCTGCACACCTGACGAGCAGGGCAGTCATGTATTCTCAGTGCGGGGTGCTGGGAAAAGGCTTCAGAGCTAGGACTCTAGGCTATGGTTCTGGCCTCCCACATGGTCAACCTGAGCCTCGGGAACGCCGATCTCCTGGCTTCTAGAGCAAGGCACCATCGCGCCGTTCCAGGCATGGAGTCATCGAAGGCAAGCTATGAAAAATAGCACTGCAGCTTCTGAAATTTTGGAGCCCTACAGCGCCTTCTTTGACAGGAGCTGCCGGCCGGGACTCCTGCCCATATCTCAAACCATGGCAATGGTCGCTGCTAGGTCCCCGGCTGCACCCCACCCCACAGCAAACCGAAACTGCCCAAACACCATCAATGCCAAAATCATGTCCTTTCAGCGCTCCCATCTGCACGCTTTTCGAGGTCGCCACCTGCACAGTGCCCTGCAGACTTGCTCTTACTCTGACCAATGTCACTCAAGGTCTAGGGGTCTAGCTGTTACTCAGATAACTCGGCCTACACAAGGGAACACAGTCGAAATTGAAGCTGCACCGTCCCTAGCACAATGACAGATGGATGCAAGGCGAGAAGGCGGAGGAGTGCAGTCGCCCACCCGCTTGACACGAAAGCTCGTATGCCGCCACGGAACTCTCTTCGTCTGATGAGCGTCCACCTGCATGTCGAAGTGTATCTCAACCCCGGTCAAAAAATCAAGACACCCAGCAGGCTACAATCGGAGAGATGTACGGTAGTCGTCGAACTGCCTAGTGGATCAGCTGACACCGACCAGTCCCTCAAGCGATGCCTGCCCTGCGTTTATCCATCTCCTTCTTTTTCTTCCATTCTTTTCTCCACTCCTCGTTGCAGCAATCAGACGGACGTGTCTGCAACTAGTAACTTTTCACCTTTCCAGGCACGTCAGTTCAAAATGCAGGTCGTCATGCGGTAGAGTTTAGCAACCGCTGGGACAAGGTGCTCACTCTCCCCTGTGACTTAGTCTCAGAGCGCATCGAACGACCGATGTCCCACCTGTTGGCCTTGATGCTGCTGGTCTCTAATAAGCAACCACCATGTTAATCCCGCCTCCCGTAACCTCTTTTCCTTTTGCCTTTTCCGTCTTCTTATTTCCGAAGAGTCGTCATCATCGTCGTAGTATCCTTGCTGCCAGAAAGTCGTGACTCGGAATCGTTTGCATGGCACATGTTCGACATGTGCAGAAAGCTTCCATGCAAGCTTTCGTGCCATGGTGTCAAGAGGCGATCGTATGAACGACTTCGGTCTCCGCGATCCCGTCCGCATGGATCCTTTGCACCGGGACGAGTCTCTCTCTCAGAGGGACAACGAGTGGCATCGCCGTGTGGCCTGGCCTCCGAGAGGCGCCCTGCCGGGCCCGAACGGCTTCGGTAGCGCCTTTCGTCCGAGTCCTCCCCGAGCCAAGGCTTCCACATCCACGACCCACCCCCAACAGTCCGCAACCGCTGTCTGCTCTCCGAGCCTCCTCTTCCAATGGTCTCCCCGCTCTTCCTCGGCTGCATAAATCTAGACAGCTATATACAGCCGGGCAGCTCATGGCAGCTTGTCACAAAGGCTTCGCCTGCGGAGGGCTTCGCCTTCTCGTTTGCTGATAAGGCTCTCTTTTTCTTTCTACCCCGCCGATTTTCGCGGCCCTGGCTATCGAGGGAATACTCCTCCTCCACATCCTGTATCAGTGCATCGCATCAAGACATGATCGGGCTCGCGCGGAACTGTTCTCGGGCAAAGCGTGGTTGTGCCTGGAATCTTGTCGCAGCCTTCTGCTTGGCCCGGCGCTCTGCCTTCAGGTCCTTCTCATCCTTGCAAGTTCTTCTTTCGAAACTTTTCCGCGTGGCTTTTAAAGATTTCCTGTCTGCGGGGTCCTTTTCTTCCCCTGGCTCTTGGTCCGCAGGCCTGCCAGAGCAAGGCAAAGGCAATGTCAATTGATGATGGCACCGAGCTGCGCACCCAGGTGGCGGCTCGTCGTCCGGTCGCGAGGTGACAACCACGGTTGGCTTCTGGCCGATCCGGAGCTCCAGGACCTGCGGCCATCTGCGGCGACTGACTCTCACTGAGGACCAGGAGCATTGCAAAATGCACGGACAACGCTGAACTCTCAACAATCCATTCCAGCTGCCATCCAAGACACGCTTTTGGGCGCCGCCTTTTTCTTCCCACTGGCCTTGGCCTTGGTTGGCATGCGACCGGCAAGTGAACTTCACAGGCTGGCTGCAAGAAAATTCAGCAGTTATCACGCACATGCGACAACTGACCAAATCAAACCAGAATTTCCGAAGCACAGCAGGAGAGCTGAGGTCAAGGCGTTCGGATTCAAGAAGCCGGAAGCCTTGGTCATAAACATGTCATAACTCATGACAACGAAAGTGTGCTTGACTCAGGGCCCGGGTCCCATGCATCCACCTCCTCCTCTGCCTGTGGCGGCTTCGTCGAGGCCACCTCGGCCTGCTTCTCATCCTGAGGGAAACGTTACATGTCTGAAAAGCACGCAAGAAAGAAGGGGCAAGTGTTAAAGAGGCTAAACAGCAGAACGATGTCGAGGCGAAAAAAGTACAGCCCGGCCTTCGAAGGCTTGTCGCGCCCGTGCTGCTAGTAGTTGAAACCAGCTATGGGCTTTGTCGAGGTGACTGTTTGCTTACGACTGAAAAATCTTGCACTTGAGACTTAAGGCAGTAAGGGTCGGTTTGAGAAGGACGTAGAAGGACTAGTCAGAAAGGATGCCGTTCGAACATGTTACAAATTGAGAACAAGCCGCGATGCGCCGGCGCAGCTCGGCCATTTCCTCCGCCTGCCCCGGGAAGCTGTAAGAGCCCGCACCGGGGATTCCCGTCATTGTACGCATACGATCGAATGCATTCTGTCAGTTCTGTCAGATCTCTAGGGCCGCCTGCTTTCGTTGGGTTTGCGCCTCCTTGGCATTGCCCGGCACGGGGCCTGCGGGAATGAGGACAAAGGAGAGCCATAGGGACTCTAGGATTTCAGCTGAGATGTGTCTGAGTGTGGCAAACGAGCTGGCATCGGCAAAGCTGCGCCATGGTGCCCAAGCACAAAGCTCTGGGAAAGCATCGGCATGCTGTTTCTGCACTCCCACATGGTTCCACCCAACCTTGCCCGGGCACTGCTTCGCCACCTGCAGCGGCGCTTTGACAAATTGCGAGCTGGCACAAGCTGCAGCAGTGGCACAGAAGCACGGCCTGCCAGTGGCCCCAAGCCTCAGCTTTGAGCTGATGGTGCAGGAACAGCCGTTGCACAACTCCGCCAGGCCAGTGAAGGCGTCTATGTCCAGTGGCCTAACTTGGCAGCCCAGTCGAGCTTGTCCTTAGTCGCTCTTGCTCTGAGTCTAGGGTCCCGCAATGTCCACCCATGACTGTGGAACTGTCTCTGCAAAGTCAAGACGCCCGTCGACTTCTGTTGAGACGATCCATCGCCATGGCTGCAACGGCCGAAGGCGACCCTGAAACTGTGAGTCGCCCTAGGGGGGCGCTACTGTACCGGCACGACTTCGGTAAAACTCTTGAGTGAAAGGGGTCTAATCCCACATTGGCTTGTGATTAGAGGCGCATGGCCATGACTTGCTGGTCCCGTCATCGTTCTCGTCTTCATTGTCTATCTCGAGGTTCATGGAGGGTACTGCAACGATGTTTAAGGCGTTCGAGTGCGACTGCATGACAGGATTTGACACGCCCAGCTGCGAGCAGGAGCAGCATAGGCAGCGATTCGCATCCGAACTGGAGCTTTGCGGTGAGGGCAGTGACATGTGAGTTGAATTACAACCAGCAGCGACTATGGCGGCATACCAACCCCAAGCGCAAACTTGAATGAAGCGAACCACGGCCAACGCCTCCCGAAGCTCGGCCCATCTCAGCATCTTTGCACGGTCCTTCGGCCAGCGCCGCATTGGACTTGAAGTCAAGACCTGAACATGTCTGGCAGTGGCATCCTCGATCGTAGCAGTCGGCCACACCATCGCAAGGAAATCCTGCCAGGAAACGCGTCGCTCCGCGAGGCAAGGATGCAAACCAGACACCTCCAGTCTGACAGGCACAGCCGAGCTGCGGAAGCGGCACTCAAGCCTCGAGCAGGGGCTAAAGCCGGACATCAAACTCACAAAAAACATAGGTGCTATAGCATAAGACAGCCGGCGGGCAGGCACACAGAGGATGGATCTGTGATTAGCCAGATGGTGTGATTGAGGTAGGGTGGGAAGTCACATTTGTTGGTTGACGGGAAACAGGCAAAGTGATGAACAGGTCGGCAAGCAGAGATCGGATAATGCCGACGTCTGAAGGATGGATGTAGAGGGATGCACCGATAAATTGCTTGACAGATGGGCAGCAAAACCGACTGTAAAAAATTCGGGAAACTCATCCGTACTCCCACATCCACACAACCTCGAACAATCACACACACTATCACTCGGTCAATCCTTCGTGAACCCCCGTGAACACAATCAGTCCTGTATAATCCTGAATGACAGGTCTGGACGGCGGGACCAGTGTCATGGAAGACAGCCGCATGGTTCCAACCGCGCAAACAGGCAGTTCTTGCAAAAGCAGGTGGCAACAATCCGTTTCCAACTGAATGTGGAAGACAGTACTTGCCCTGTAAATCCGAGCACGACATTTCTAGCTATTCAACACTTCACGTGGAAGCACATGTCACTCGGAGGGGAGTGGTTCTTTCGATCAAGTGATGTCTGCTGTGCTCGAACAGGCTGCAAACTGCAGGCCATCTCAAATTCACACAGTGGGCCAGTTTTGGTTGGTCCCCAAGCAGCCCAACAGCGTCCATTCCAGGATCCAGCGTTTAAGTTGAGAAGGGGCAACTCCAGTCAACCCGTGATGAATCCCGTTGTGTCATGGACATACATTCTTCTGGGCGAGTTTAACGTCGTCATTCCCAGTGTAGATGTAATGAATGGCTGGTGAGTGGTGAGCTTGCGATTAGAAATTGGCTCGTTTTCAGTTTACCACCAATCCTCTGACGGCAACCACCGTCCGACGCAATCGTGATAGGCGATCATTCCTCCAAACCACAAAGGAATCATGGCATTATGCTATATGTTCCTGGCATTCAACTGAGGCTTGCATTCCCCCGTTCACCAATGACGACGAGCCGGCGTCCAACAGAGCAACCCACCAAAACCTTTTGGTTGCCCGTGACTCGCAGACAATAGTGGCTTCCATGGTCCGATCATTCCCACCAACCAAGTTTTCTCATGAACAAATTCCTCTTGATCTCTGTTCGAGAGTTGCAATTCACATTCGAAGACACAGGTCCTGTCGAGCAGTTGTCTTGGCAATCGATTGGCATTGCATCCACCGCGTGCTTGAGGTCTCCAATGAGATCACTGGGCTGTGGCTCTGACACCTCATGCGTTGCATCGTAAGTCCAAACAGTTTTGAACCCAGGAGACGAATCTGCCGTAGCTTCCCTGTGTATTTCAATTCCATCACTGCCCGAAGCCAAACAACATTCCTTCACGATGTAAGGCTCCGGTCACTTGCTGAGCCAAACTGCGTCTAGTTGGATGGAAAAACGTCTCGAGACCCTGTAACTCCTATAGAAGAAGTGCGCTCATCGTTCTTGCGTGGCTATGCACCACACCCTGCACTGTGAAGCTCGTTTTGATGGTTTTTTTGATATGTCACTATTGCGTTGTTGGGCCCAACAGCGCTGTGAGCCGACGAAGCTTGTGGTCCGACACTAGGTGCGCAGCGCGTCTGTTTTTTCCCGCTGGCCTGTTCACTCAATCTGATGACTCTCCAAAAGTTGTTGTTTGACGAATGTCCATGGCCATCGAAGAACAAGTCCACCCTGCCCTACTAAGTCCCTACTTGTCGTTACCTTCCAAATGTAAGCCGGAGGAAAGAAAATGTTGATTTTGCCTGCAATGACAGTAGCACCTACGGAGAGACAGCTAGACAGACGACGTGCACACACACACACACCCACACTGGAACGCGAACACCGAACGCGTGCACAGAAAGACAGACAGACAGACAGACAGACAGACAGACAGACAGACAGAGGGATATGCATAAATAGGTGTTTCTCTGTCTTACTTACTTACTTACTTACTTACTTACTTACTTACTTACTTGATTACATACATACATACATACATACATACATGCATGCATGCATGCATGCATGCATGCATACATACATACATACATACATACATACATACATACAAATGTAAAAGGGACACAAATGCATGCATGCACACATGCATGCGTACATGCGTGCACGGTTCATGCGCATTTGCGTACATGTGTACATGCATACATACGTATTGGCATGCACACATGCAAAAAAACGCACATGCCTGCCCAGCTACCTACCTACCTACCTACCTACTTCCCTACCTACCTGCCTACGTACATACATGCATGTCTGCATGTCCGCAGGACTGCATGCCTGTATGTATGTATGTATGTATGTATGTATGTAGGTAAGTAGGTATGTATGTATGTATGCATGTCTGTATGTGTATCTGTGAGTTCGGGCGAGAAGCTTTATGTAATGCACATTTCTACGGCATGTATACATTACTCAGCTTGCGATCTGTTTGGATGCGCGTAGGTGTAGGTAGATGCGTCTTTATAACATGTTACATATGCATTTCATGTCCTAACAAGTCACATACTACACTCCAATACCGATTTTTTTGCTTAGTATGGCAGAATCTATACTGTCTATACTCTTCAAGTATGGACAGGCACATTGTCGCATACTATAGTAGCCGGCCAGACAGAGGTAGACATAGATGCAGAGGTAAACGAATGAACGGATGGATAGACATACACAGTGTCCAAGAACTGGAGCGACACACAGAGATGAAGAAACAGACAATGAATGGACAGACGAACGCACCGACGGAGAAGTAGATGTCGCTATGCTTCGGCATTCTGTGGTGCAGCAAGCAACCGGCATCCCTCAGCTGTTGACAATGCTTCATGCGGCCAGGCCAAAACCAACATGCGATGTGGGTCTGCAGCTAAAGAGTGTTCATTGTTCCGTTCGAAACGGACCATGTACACCGAAGGGGAGCCTTGCCCTGCGGAGCATGCGGAGCGTGTTGACCTCAGCAAGCATACGGACGCCAAGCCCTAAGCACGCCTTGCGGTATGTATCTTTTTGCCGGATCGAGGCTGAGGGACAAATGTACTTCAAGAAGTCCATGTACACCTGCCATGTTGGAAGTGCTCTAGTGCTGGGACATTCCAACATGCGCATGTGAACTGTTGAAAAGCAGAAATACCTACATTCGAAATTCCCGCCCACCTGTCTTGTAATGGCGCCAGAGTGTGTTGTGTCTATCTCCCAGAAAGTGTCGCAGGCAGACCACACGGCCTGGTGCCATCTGATTTGGCAATGCGAGGCATCTGAAAAACGATGAAATTACAATTCCGTTCAGCTCCTCGCGACTTGTGTGCACTGGGGCGCCCTGCCGTAATCGTTGCACAGCTACACTTCTCCACCTGGGTGACAGCAGCAAGCTGGGTGAGCAGCTAGATGACGGCCATCGATGTCTGCTGACATCTGCACGACAAAAGTTGCAAATCGCTATAATTCGTTGCGCTCCGACTTTGCCGCCCCTTCCTTACCAAATCTCTTGACAGCTGACCTGACCGCACCCTTCGCCCAGAATCCCGTTCTGGGCTAGAGGTTGCCTTGCAATAGCAGAAGCAGTTTTGAGTCATGCAAGCCGACAACTTACACTATCTTACCAAGCACAGTTGTGCATGCAGGCCTGGACAGTGCGTGCCGACATCCTCATATAGCCCACAAGAACTTCGCAGTTCCGGGACCCACACCGGCTTCGAGCGAAACGCACGCCGAACATCTGGCGAGCACTTCGCCTGGATGGAATTGACAAGGAGACAGCTTCGTATCAAAGCCCACACTGCCGTCCGATACGCACGTTCCGTAGAGGGAGTGGCTCAAGCTGACCATACTGCAAGATTATGCTACTACTAGAGGAACTGTTTAAGGGTCTCTCACCGGCTCCCCAGTCGACGAGTGTGCCTTTTCAAAACCACCTGACAGCCGACAACGACGAGCAAGGCACGTTGCCTCGATGTTCTGCGCACCTTGGTCCCGGAAAACCAAGTCAATCCATGGAACCTTGCATCGCATTCCAATTGTAATGCAGAACGTTTGCCTGCTTAACTCCCCAACATGCGGCTTCAGATTATTGAACCTAACCCAAACTCAATTTCACATGGCTCGGGACGCGGCGCAGGGCCAAGTTCGCAGGGAGTTTGTCCTGGCTTTTGAGGGAAACTGAGACTCGAAGCCGACGAGGCCACACTGCAGGGAAAGGCGGCGGCCTGCGTTCCTGGGCGGCCTGACTGAAAGCGGACAGACACTACGACCGATGTGGGAAATGCGGAAGGGTTAACAAAACACTTAAGGAACTTCTCCGGAATTCAAACCTTGCCTGTAAGCTTAGAGGCTTTCGTCTTCGGACCTGGCCACAAACAGCGACCCTGTCCCACAACAACTGGAAAACAAAAGCACAAGTCAGAGGAGGTGGAGCGAGGAGTAAGTCCCGAGCTTGCCAGCTTGCCCGGGCTCGCAATGACTGACCCAAGTGCCTTCGTCCATGGCACAAAATTTGCACCTTGGGTTGGCAAGGTGCATCTATGAAGCATCTACGGCATCAACTGAGCGAGGGCTGATGGCAGTTTTCGTTCCTTTTAGTGTCAGGTTGTCGCAAGCTTCCGAGCCTCTGGCATGCCAGGTCTCAACAGTGCTCATCGAGGCTCTGACCGGTTGCCGTGCTCGTTCCAGACTGGGACAACTGAGCCTCAGCGGTTTGACACGAGCCCCCGCACCCCAGCAAACAAGCGTCTTCAAGCTCGTACGAGAAAACGATCTGGCTGGGAGCTCGGCAGTTCCACTTAACCCTCCCTGCGCCATCGATTTCGGAGGATCCTCCGGTGCTATCAAGAAGCAGCCGCCAGCAGACTCCATCCCAACGGCATTGCTGGCATTGCATCCGTGAGCCTGTTTTGAAATCTGGCGCCTGGCGGCAGATGGACAGTGGAACTCGCCAATAGAAACCGCACTATTCTCAACTCAGTTGCATCGCATGAGCCCCATGTTCGAAAGACCGCCGTGTACAAATACGTCCGAGTGGCTCCAGAGGTCCTGCCCAGAAGCGGTTTTACAATGGTTGGCACTTGTCTGAAGACGCTGGGCGCACATGACGAGGGCAATGTGGCGCTGCAGTCAAGCTAGGTTGAATGTTGTCGTGTGCGCTTGAAGGGGTTGGGTGGGGTGGGGTGGGTTGGGTTGGGTTGGGTTAGGTTGGGTTGGGGCTGGGCGGGGAGGCGCTAGGCTGGGCTGGGCTCCGTGGGCAACGTCGTCGGTGGTTCGGGAGCCTTCAGCATGGGGTCGCACCTCGCGCTGCTTTCACAGATATCTTGCTTTGCTTTCTTGTTTGCTCGCTCTCTCTCTCTCTCTCTCTACCAGGTGGGGAGAACTGGGGTAGGTCCGTCCCCAGCCCTCTGCGCGCACGCGCGCGCACCTGCAGTCCTCAGGTGTCTTTGCCCTCCCTTTACTATGTAAAGAGAGGCTCGGCTGTACTGAGGAAGGTCTCTCTCTCTCTCTCTCTCTTTCTTTCTGCCGTTGCATCCAGAGGGTCCAGCAGCGCTAGACAACGCGTGAGGGCCAATTAGCCCCGCACAAATGAAACAGCAAGACGCAACTCAAGCAGCAGTCAATGCCGACACACGCCTCTTGTTTGCTTTCTTGCTTGCTTTCTTTCTTGCTTGCCGTCGTGTTTGCTCTATTGCTAGCGTTCTTGCTGGCGTTCTGGCTTGATTTCTTGCTGTATTTCTTTGTTTCTTGCTTGCTTTCTTGCTCGCTCGCTCGCTCGCTCGCTGGCTGGCTTGCTTGCTTGTTGCTTGCTTGCTTGCCCTGACTCCCTTGCAGCACCCCACTCAGAACCATGCCCATCCCTAGTAGGCGCCCCCATTGCGCTTAGGAGTCGGTTTTACAAGCTCCCGGAGAGAAATCCCCGGGCATTGCAGCATTGCCGGTGTGTTGGCTGGCTCTGGATTGCATCACCCCTCTTCGGATGCTGAGGTACCGCCATTCTCTCTCTCTCTGAACACATGTCTCAGTGCTTTACCACAAGTCAAGAGGCTGCAAGCAGCCCTCAACGGGTCCTCGCGGTGATGCTGCGACCTTCGCCAGATTGTGTGTGAGGATGGTTGAAGCTATGAATCGACTGCATTTCGGCGACTCAGGCAGCGTTTAGCCATCAGTCGCTGTAGCCCTGTGGACCCCTGACTAGATTCGAGCTGAGCGGCATCAGACTTACCGAAGGTCGACCCAAGCGTGGAGCCAAAGTTGGACACGGTGCCGGACTCTCCTGCGCAATCGCAGGAATCGGCGTGGTGACATGAAGTTAGGACCGGTCCCCATGAAGTTTCTCGGCTGTGGGATACATGAGGTGCCAAGCCAACCCCGAGAACGTCCTAGCGATCTGGAATGAGACTGCATGGAGTGCGGCCTGCACATTTGCATCCACGGAAGAAGATGCCATTCCATATCTCTCAAGCAGAAAGAAGTCTTTCGGATCATTATCTGTCAATCATATTGCTCAAATGCTTTTCCACTCGGGGCAGCCGCTCAAATGGGAGACACGGTGTGTTGCCTTTCAGTCAACCTATGACTCTAAGGGCTACAGTGTGCCTGCGCAGAGCAACTAGACATTTGCGGCCTCTTCGGGAGCTGCACTGCCGCCCGGGCTCCCTGCGCAGGGGTCCCGAGAGCTGTCTGAAACGGAATGGCCATTTGTGGCACTGCACGTCAGAAAGCCTTCGGACACTCCGAATGTTTGGTGGCGACGGTTCACTCTGCTGGCAAAGTGCCGTCTGTCCGGCTCTGGTCGAGTCTTTAAGCCCTTGAACTCTGTACATGTGAAGCTCCTGGCTCGCTTTCTGCCTTCCGAGCTTCGGGATTTCTACAATGGTAAGATGGTCTTGAATTAGAGCACATGCGCTTAGTGTCAGTGCCGCGAGAGCATGCAACTAGTATTCGGAGAGCACGCTTAAAAGCAATTCATCGCTTCAGCCCACCTCGCAACGCAGGCTTGCTGATGAACTCTGGGCGCTTGCCTCTCCGATCCTCAACTTTGAGCACCTGCAAACAGCACAAATGTCGCTTGCCGGCTCTGGTCCGCAACATTGACGTTTCAACGCCTGCTTTCGGCTCACTTGCCTGGGGCATCTACGTCCCAACACTGACAATGCATGGCGAGATACGTGGCAGGCACATTGCATCGCTGCATTCGGTTCTTACCCATCTGCGACCTGGACTTTCCATGGGCACCAGCGGCCAGGTGATGTACGCCATGCCTACAGCAAGCACATGCATCATGGGTGCAGGCCCTTCCATGTGCATCCTGAAAACGGTCAATGGGATTTTGCTGCATGGTTCGGTTTCGCCACTGGACGACCTCTGAAAACAAATGTCGCCGATGCCTCCGAGTGCTCCTCGATGTAGCGTGGAGAGGCGTCACAAACCTGCGCAACAATCACCTTCCTCCTTCCTGCTAAGTTTGTCTCATCCATCCGAGCGTGCTTTGATCCCACATGCCAAAAAACATACCAGTCTTCTCGGTACAGTCTCTTACCTCGACCGCCAGTTCTGCCCAACCAACATTCTTCGGGTCCACGTGCCAGGACCACTTGTCGCAGTCGCTGCCAGATAGAATCCTCGATGTATGGGCTCACTGTTCTCAGATCGAGGTATCTAGCACGTGAAGCTAATCAACATCATGAGGGTAGCGAGGATTCATTTGAGAACCTCCGCTCCAAGTACATGGCATATATGTGCACCATGTCGATGCCGCGCGTTGAACGCAGAACCCGGCGGCACAGGGCTAGGTTCTAGGCAAGGCTCTGATGGAACACAGGGATCCTTCCCACGGCTTTGGATGACTTGTCAGTAGTCAGCGTGCCTGGCGAATAGCAAGGCAACCAGAATACATTGGTTCGGTGGGAAAGAATTTTGGGTGCCTCCGATCCAAAGCTAGCCCCTCTAAACAGTCTCCCGCCCAGATTCGACAATGCACTCTCGTTGCGAATTCGGGGTGTCGAGCTACTAACGGCATGACACGGGCAAGGCTCAACTGATGGTGAAGCAACAGCCCCTGAAGATTCGGAGGCAACGTGACTTCTTTCCAATCAAAGACCGAGGTGTAAACTTAGGGCATCCGCGTACCAAAAGCGCCTCGTTTACGTCAGATCCTAGCTGAACAGGCTACACCAAAAGCTTCTGAACAGACCGCGGATGCTCTGAAAACAAGTGTTGGGAATATACGGTGAGTTTAACATAAAAAAGGTGCACACCACCGGAAACGAAAATTTCCCTCAAACCAGAAACCCGAGACCAACCTAGCCACGGGTGTTAGCACAACAGAGCGCATACCGTCCATGGTTCCACCTGGTGGGCGAACTGCATGGGCAATGGCTGCCTCTATGAAGTCCTCGTCCTAGCGGTACTGGCATGCAGCCGCAGAACACTAGAGCTGTTATAGTACACCCTTGATCAAGTCTGGAGCTGCAGCAAAAATTGTGTGTTGGCGGACTGTGTCCTCTACCCAAGGCGAGACAGACTCGTTCTCCTTGGGACAACATGGCCAGAAGTTAAACATGCGATCTCAACATCATGAGTCTCACCGCCCTGGCGACCGCAACGACGTTGTGGAATTTTGCAGCAAGGCCCTCCGGTGCTTATGACACGCAGGCTACCGGAGCCAAACAGCGGGACCAAACTTGGTGAGGGCCATCAATGGCCATAAACTTACTGGTGTCCGCTATATTGGATTTAGTGAGAAGTTTAGAGATCGCTAAGTCCATGCGACATGCCTGCGGAACCGCTTTGCTCACCTGATCACGCTCGCTACAATGATAAGAGGCATGATCACCCTGGATGTTTGCAGCGGCTGGCAAGGGCCTAAGCCTTAAGCTGGTCGGGTTCGGATTGCACTACTTGTGGCCGGACTAACATCAACAACCTCAATGAGGCACCTCTTGATTTCCTTTCTACGGCGCTTTCAGTTTCAACCCGCCATAGTTCATGGAGTTCACCTGCCTCCGTGCAGCCATGGTGCCCCTACCCGGATTGTAACGAAGGCGCCACCCGACCGCTCGGAGCAATTGCGGGCGACCGCCACCTGACAAGGCGCTCGTCCGCAACAAACCTCTCAATGCTGCGCAGCCGGCGACGACGGGCACATGGTCAGGAACGAGCTGATCTCGCTAGACTGAAACGCTCGAATCATCATTTGGGTGCGAAGCATCAATTGCCGATTCTGCTAATTACAACCCCAAAACACAAACTTCCATTAACAGGTATTCCTCCTACTTGCGGCCGTATCAGTCCGAAGGACGCGTTCAGACAAGCACTTAGGCGATGGGCAATAGATCTCAAAGGGGCATCCGCTTCTGGACTTCCGGCTTCCGGATTCGCCAGGCCAGGCTTTGAGAAATCCCAAACTGATCTCCAAAATCTCTCTCCCGAGGTTCATCTCTCCCATCACCAGGGTGTTCAACCGATCCTTGAAAGCTGGTGTCTCAACAACAGCCTACCGTTCAAGTACCTGCGCTCAGCCGTTCTATCCCTCTGGATTGAAATACACCGCCCAAAATCCGCTCAATGGCAAAGCGATGCCGCCTGTGTAGTGAGGATGCAAACGAGGGCACAGCGAAGGGAAGGCATGGCGACGCAGCGACCAAAAGAGCTTGACAACTCCATGCCTCCAAACCTAAGCCTAAGAAGGACCCCAGGAACAACCAAAAGAGCATGGCACCGAATGAGTCGTGATCCAAGCTGAGTTTGCAAGATACTGGCACCAACTTGAAACGATACCGGCAGCCAGTTGTTGCAGGCCGGGTTTGACGTGTGAGTGAGTAGTTAGTAGAAGCAGCACAATCAGCATCTAGACCAGTCACAAGGCCTGTCCCGAAGAACAGAGCTGAACTGCCAGCTGACTGCAGGAAACACCCTTCATGCATGCTTGCCACCCGCTGAATGGTGCTTCCCCATGGAAAACGAATTGGCACTTTTCCAGCCACATTCCGTTGGCCCGCGTCGCAGGGCGCAGAACTTTGGCATGAACTGTCGGGCTCTAGGGATTCAGAGTCAACGTCGCGCAGCGTCCGAAGTTGCGAGCCATCCCGACTGAATTCACCTATGTCACCTTGACCTCATGATGCTTCACCTTGCCCTCTGCTTATCACATCTCTGAATTGGAAACGCGGCACTGCATGGCGAAAGTGGCGCGCTTGTCAAGCATTGGCCCTCTCAGATGCCAGCATCTACCAGCATCTCCCTACGGGACGTACATGTGAAGACCCGGACACTCTCAACCTTTCCTTGTACTTCCTGGGTGTCTTTTGTGATGTTGGCATGGCAGAATTCTTCTGCGAAGTTGGCCGTGGCCTGAACGGAACTACCGACTAATGAGAACAGAAAGAGCTAGAACTGAGTGGTCTCGCACGATGCTACAGGTTGCACTTGGACGCTTGGACCTGTGAAACATTGCGTCAGCCTGCAGAAGAGGTCAAGCTCGAGGCTCATAGACCATGAGAACCAATTCCAGGGCTGCTTTGCATGCTGGAACTGAAACATATCGATGGCATCAAGGCAAGCCCTCTTCTGGACAGATATGTGCGGCACCAGACACGCAAGGCCAACAGAGGCAGCAATGCATGTAAATGAGCAGCTAGCATGTTGGAGTTCTTCGCCATGCTGACTAGGCGACTAAACTGATGCTTATGAACCGTCGCGCGGCTATACACCAGAAGCCTAAGACTTTGTCGTGGTTTGTGGCCTCCGCTGTTCTGCACGTGCACTGGCATCTTCTCAGGGAGCATCTACGGGTTGACCCATGGAAGGCAGGTGCCAAGCCGGAAATTAAACCGCCACTGTTGGGAACAGCTTGCGTTCCGAAACACCGAAATCTAAGAGACATTCAACTCCATTGAGCATGCCTTCCAAGCAGTCACCTGGACGCAGTTGTCTTTGACTGCGACTGAGCTTCCAAGCTAAAACAAACATGAAGCACCCTCAGCACACATCCGGCGGTAACATTCTGCAGCCACTGCTAGGCCCTTGTGAAATCTCACAGGTCATGCCACCTCCAAAACATGCTAATTACATCTAAATACCGGACCGGCCGATATGCAATTCCAGGACCTTCTCACAAACGCAGGCGTGTCACCTACTATGGTGCTGATGCTGCAATGCCCACGACCCGCTACCACATCACTGCAGGCTGGACTGACAGAGATGCCCACGATTGTGAGAAAGGGAGGGCCCTCAAGTGTAATGTACCACAGCCAAAGCCGAATTGCGCGGGCTGCGGTGAAGAAATTCTCTCCTTGAACCACGTATTCTGGCAACAGTGTGATCTTCGCCGGCCGCGACTGAAGCAGGCACCACTTTGTGCCCACGGTGCATGAAGTCGGCTGGAGCCATCGACGAACGTGCCTGCATGAAGAGGCCCTTAAGACGCCCAGCACATCCTTACACTGAGGCTTTGTTCGGCAGGACACTGGGGCCTCGAAATGCGGCTACGTCTATACGGCACAGTGCACCAAAACAGGCCTCCTTTGCAAGCCTGGGCTTCTGCGGCTACACATCCGTCTTCTATCATCCTTTAGCCTTCTGCCCTCCTGAGGTCCGCTGGCCCGGCTAGCCATGGCTGGCCATGTCTGGCCATGCCATTCAGAGAACTTCTGCGCCAATTTCCACTCATAAGGAAATGTGCTTGCTTGCTACATCTGACCCATCAAGGAGTAATCTTTACACATACATACATACATACATACATACATACATACATACATATATATATATCAAAATGTGTGTATATATATATGTATATAAAGAATATATATATATATAGATAGATATATAGATACACCTAAGTATTGTTTACCTAGTTGCACAAAACCGCTCAACTCATTGTGGCAGTCATGACCGCACTACCTCGCTCCGGCTATGCGCCCTTTCCGAGTGCGAGGGGCCGATGGAGAAGGCTGGACCGCGAGTAGCCAGACGAAGTGACATCTAATGTGCTGCATGTTCTGTGGCAACAGGCTTGGGAAATGCATGTTGCGTGTTGGGGTTCTTCGCGGTGGCAAAAACCAGAAACCTCCTTCGGCGCTTCAGAAATCGAATTGGGAAAGTTGCGAGCTCAGACGTGCCAGCCGCGACGCAACGAGGCCGAGGCCTGGCCGAAGCTCGACCTCGAATCCCGCGAACCGCAAACCAACTCATCTCTCTGCTACACTCGCACTAGTCCGTCTTGCACGGCTGCGAGGTCCAAACTCGCTTCTAAAGCAGCGGCTCTGCCACGAGCAGCTGCATATTGCTGAAGGCAGCGATTCTCTACTCCACTGCGCGACTGCCCCAATCAAAACTGAGAGGGTAGCGGGCCCGGGTAAGACAGGCCACTTCCGCCTCAAAGCAGGAGCACGAGGGCAACAAAGTGGCAGGCACGGGTGCATCTCACAATGCCGTGCACATCAGCTGCAGATGCCAAGAAGCTATAAGGGCTTTCGTATCCATCACATCCGCTGTAAGCAGCTCCACAGTATGAGCCACTGCCACCTTACCGTGGCCGAAACTTCGGGACCCTTCCTCACATGGAAGAGCTTGCGCGGCTTCTCTTGTTTCGCCGAGTGGCTATCCGACATCGCGAGATTGTCGGCTCCTTTCATGACAAGGCAGCCACTTCAGTCGGCCCACCTTCCATGCTCCAATTGTCTGTTGCCGCCAAGACACTCCAACCAGACCACGACCCTTGTTCCCACGAGCTGCCTGCAGGCCAGTTCGGGCCCTGCCAAGCAAGATTGTTCAGATTGCATCTGCTGGTCCTTACAGCAGCTGCTCATTCCAAACCCTTGGAGCAGCGCAGAAATCAGTCTTTAAGTGCCTGCCAATTCGTGGACGCCGCTTCCGGTGCCGACCAGCCGCCTCCTGAAACATGACATGCTGAGACCGTATTTCAGGGCCAACAATGACAGAAGCAGGCGCATGCTCTGAAGGCTGCAATTCTTCAAAAACAACCAGCAATTACATTTTTTGCTACAAGTAGGATGGGCACTGCGCTCTGACCATTTCAAGCATTCGCCAACATGGCCTGCGGAGCCTGAGAAGCCGTCGTGGTTGTGACCGTTTGTGTAGCCTTAGTTCAGCAAGGCAATAGCAATTGCACAAAGTCAAGTCAAGTCATCACGGGTATGGCATAGGTCGGGAGAGGTACGGAAGCTCTGGCTGTGCGATTCTTGGCAGTTGCCACTCCCGTAGGCATACCTGAGCAGCGCGACCGGCATCACAAAAATATCTTTGCTGCTTGCGACTTTCTACTGCACAGATCCGAACCATGATTTTGGTTGTTCCCCTCGAACATCTCATGCATAATCGGACATAGAACTGCGACGGCTGCTGCCACGCAGGAGGCGAGGCAGGAAACGGGATGGAGATGCCCTCGGCGGCATCCCCACTCGTCAGATCCTGACAGGGTTCAAGGCTGCGCCGTCATCCGCAGTATATGCGGAAAAACCTAACCGTCTGTCACAGGAATAGCAGCTGCTGGGAGTACAACAGCAGCTAGCCATTCCACCGTGTACGTTTGAAGCGGGAGCCGGCACAAGATGTAAAACTCAGGAATCCTCGAAGGGATCGCTGCCCAGAGACCTGAGCTCCGCCAATTGCAACTCTGCTCTTGGCCATCACAATGCCGACATTATGAAGCTTTTAATCCAAGAAGCTGATTCAGCGCGCCACCTTCGTTGAAGAGGTCACCTGGCAACCACGCCAAGCGTAAGAGTACGGATTAAGTTTGCCAGACCATCTGCGTCAACAAGGAAAGGGTGAAGTGGCCGTGCCTTTGCCATCACCTTTACCTTTTCCTTTGGAAATTCCTCCATTTCCGCGCCTAAGTGTCGCAAAGCATCCTCCACCTCTACATGCATGCAGCTGCAGGTCAAGAACAGCGGGATTCCCTGGAAGCATCGGGCCAGCAACATGGAGCCTACCGCATCCCGACATGGCGCAGTTCAACTACAGAGCTCGGCAGCCAGAGACTAGCAAGCCGCGAGAGCAAGTTCTCGTGTAGTCACGATGTCCAACATTTTAAGCTCGACCTTCCAAACAAAAGCATCGATGCTAATTATGCGAAGGAGCCCCAGTCCTTTGTCCGCAAACCTGCAGTTTACAGGCACTTGTTGCTGAGAGCATCTCAAGGACCGATGTCTAAGAAGGGTGCCGACACATCTTCTTCTTGCAACATCGATGACTGCAGCTGTGGCTTTCGGGGGTCGGGTGGCTCCCTTACTTAATCCTCTCGCAAGATACGCATGGATGGGAAACGTTCGCACCCAGCCGAAGCGCTGCTTCTGGAACATGGCTTCCCTCTCTTCGCGTTTCTGCGCACGGCTGACATAGAGGAGGTGCTCTGGGTGACCTGAGACTTTCGGAGCACAAAACGCCGGGACTATCCGGGACTCTTGATGTATGTGGCATCCCGCGAATCGAGGTCGAGTGGAGTGAGAGAAGTCGACAAGCAAAAGCACCACAGACACGACTCGTGCAACCGAGGCACCATCCACGTCCCTCCTGATAGGGGGAGCCTTCCCCTCTGCTTCCAGCTTTTTCGCCTGAGGGCAAAGAAGCGGTAAGTCAGTTCACAAAAAAGCTCGCAGCATCTTCCTTTGAGGAATCCATGTGGGAAACTTCGGTTTGCTTATGGGTAAACCAAGCCATTAACCGGACCGTAGTATATCCGTGCATGGGGCGCGCGAGGGCCATGACGCGGGAAACCCCATAAGATCCCTCTTTAGTCTTCTGCACATCAGGGGGAGCCGGAAGAGCTCATAGTGAGTGTGTTCTCCTCTGAAAGTTGCCGGCCGATACATGATCGTAAAGACCCAGCTGAGGCTAGCAGCACACAACTGAAGTCTGTCAACGGCTTGTAGCAATAGTGAGTATTGCTGGCTGGACGGACCCACACTGTGCCGGTTTTTCTATCGGCAAGTTGAGGCCACTTGCAGATGCGACCGAAGGCCAGCAACAATATCTCCCATCAGTTCTTTATCCGTGTGAGAAAATACGATCTCCGGGGCCGCCCGCAGCATCAGGCGTTGCCGGTTGCACGCCAACATCAGTGCCCACGCGAGGGTCAGGGCATGAGCTGAAAGATCTTGTGAGGCTCTCACTGTGAGCTCACATCTCTCTCGTTTAAGCAACGACTCAGAACTGGCTGTTTGTCGTCTTCTTCGACATGAAGTGCCAAAACATTCCGCACGTTCCTGCTTTTTGCTTCCATCCTGATCAATCTTGGTCTCCTGTTGTTCAGAGAGAGCTTCTGTTCTCTTTGTTTCGCGCTGATGCCTCGTCGAGCCGCTTCGTGCCGAGAAGCGAGCAACAACGCGGGCCCTTCTGGAGTTGTGACTCACCGAAGCACGGATTGGCCCGATCTCAGTGGCAATCAAGCCGCTCATGATACCTAGAATCTACAAGTCGTGCAACTCTGTCATCTGTGGTCTGATCATGGTACTGCTCACCACCTCAAACTTTCTTGCTCATAACATGCGAGTGGACGCTGCTGCCTGACATGTCAACTCTGTACAGCTTGCATGCTTATTCGGAAGTCCTTCCTGCCAAACATCCAAGCATGTCGTCTCAAGGAATCATTCCCTGCAACTGCGTACACACTCGAGCCTCTTTGAGCTCCTTCCGCGTCCGCAAGTCTTTGCAGTGCATGAGCCGCACGCACCTGGGCTATCAGCATGGGCTGCAACTTGTGGCTTTCAGGCAAACCCGGAAAAGTTCACGGCACTTCCTCGAACAAGAATTTTTAACCTGCTAACACGAACCATCGTTCAACGAGATATTGATACGAAGTAAATCCTGTCTTCTCTCCCTACACGCATGCCCAAGCTGGGCAACCCTTCCATATCCCTTAAGGCACTGTCGCTTTATCTTGAGCTCGATATATTTCAAACCAAATTTTGTTCCCACCCGCCCAGCTGTGTTTGAGAAGGATTAAGGGTAGTTTCGTGATTGAAAAACCTGAACTCGCCTATGTGATGCATCTCCCTTCCAAGCAAGCATAAAGCGGCTGAGCCACTCTTTGGCGTCTTTCGATTGCTCGAAATTTACGAAGCCAAAACTTCGGCCGCGATTGTCTGTCATGACCTGGCGAATGCACCTACACCGCATAATGAGCAAGAAGTGATCGCTTGTGCTCCTTGCCTTGGCCGCCTGGATGGGCCCAAAGCCACTGAAGAGCTCACAGAGGTCCTGCCTTACAACCGTCAACAGGTGATCAGCTTGGACAAGCGAACGTAACTCGCGAAAGCCTTCGACGGATAGCATAGCACAAAGCGTAACATGCAGCATAAGAACATTCCGAGCAAAGATACGGTATGAGCTTGTGGAAGGACCAAAGATTAGCTGCGCAGCTGAATCTACCGTCCGAAGTCGGTTGCAGCTGCACACATGCAAGACCACCGCACATGATGTGGGCCATGTGCGGTATTGTTATTTCGTCATAAGCCATCGAGGGATAGGAATGATAACATCACAACACCTGCTCGAGATTTGGATCGTCTCTGTTGATGACGACGAAGCCCTGCACAGATGTCTACTTCTATGGTGACCATGACGAGAATGCCCGAGCGATCCTTGTAGGCTCAGAGCAGAAAGGCTCAAATCATTGCTGACCTGAAATACCTGCGAAACCTGAAGTTGGAAAAACTGCGTAGGACTGCTTATCTTAGCGACGACTCGATGCAGCAGCGGTACCATGGCATGATCTACACATAAGTTCAGATGGGATGCTCTTTGAAGTGCGGTGGAAAGCACTTCACGTAGAGGTTGGTGAAGTCCCCCTCCTGCGATGGCAAGCATGAGCCTCCTTTTGTGCAGCTGGCTTGTAGAGTCAACACAGATGCCATGTATGTAATTCCACTGTCCCAGCTCCTGGTTCTGAATTGTTTGGCTAGTTCCGATAGTGCTTAGGATCATTACTGGGTGGTTCACACTTGAGGCTTCTGCACCCCGTTTCCACCTCTTTCGTGGCATCCATGACAGTCATTGTCAGAACCTTGGCAGTTGCTGAACGTGTTGCCCATTCGAGATGCCAGCACCAAGAAACGAACTCATACCTGTCCACTGAGCCAAATCTGCATTCAGGTCACTTTGCGAAACCGGCCGCAGAGCTGAGCTGGAGCAGGTTCAAAGGGCTGCTACAGGTCGTGATTAAGTGATTGCAAGTCTGTGTCCGCGACTTGGACATCCTAGTCTGCATTCACGTTTGTAATCGCATGTACCATACAATAGAGACTGAGTAGAGTCTTCGCAACAGAGAGTGGCTGCTGGCATGTCAGACTGATCGTTCAGTCAGGGTACTGCAGCTGTGGTATCTGTGTGAGTGGAGTGTGGAATGCAGCCTGCGCGCAGAATCGGGAGAAGAGCCCTCGAAGGCCCAGATCCCCAGCTGTACTGCGAGCCAGGATGCTGAGAGCACGAGCAAACCAAAACTTGAGTCAGCTTCTGCCAAGCCCATGTGCTTGGCTGTTGTTCGTTGCTTTCCACCAATGCAACAAACAGCATCACCCCAAACCAACTCTTTCACGGCTAATGGCCGGTTGCGTCATGTTTGCAAACGGGCTATACAAACTGGCATCGGGAGCCGAGAAGAGGTTTTTGTATTGGTTCTTGTGGGATGAGCCTTGGCATTCAAGTTTCCCGACTGAAGGCCAGTTGTCCGAGGCCTCGATTGAAAAAGCTCTAGTGGCTCCAGCGGACGAACTCTTGAAGAGTATAGTATGCGCCTGGCACATCTTGGAGCCACAGCTACACTTGTGTCAGTTCCCTCGCTTCAACTTTAGCAGAAACACAGGTGCAGGGTACACCCTACTAAAGGTGCAGCTGCTTCCTCCTTTCCAGTGCCTGAACCTGCTGGTGGGCTTCCAAAGTCCGAACCTACCTGGGCACCCTGAGTGGCTTCCAAGCGGCAGCTTTGCGACCTCAAACTTAGACGAAGATGCACTCCGATCAGGAGGTGTGGTCGGGGCAGAAATTGTCGAGAATTAGTGACGTCTGACCAGGCACCAATGCGTTTCTGCTTCCACACCGTCACCTCCATGCAGCTACCGATGAATTGGCTGTCCATGCACTCGATTTTTCTGCCAGGTCAAAGCAAAAACTGAACTCTATGACTGGTGGCATGTAGTTTTGCTCAGGGTTCAGAACCCTAAATTCTAAAGCGAATCAGATATGTGGGATTGTCAGATCCTTAGTAGTTCCTTACACTACTCCGACGAATCATTAGCCTTTATCTTCAAGCCAGCGTCGGGCCTTGCACATATCAATGCAAAGTCTGAACTGTATGTTGGGGAAACTTTGCCTCGCAGGTGAGACGGGCTAAGCTGTCAACTTTTGTTGAAACAGCATAGTCAGTGTGCTGAAACTGCAACCCGCACAGGCTCGGCATGTTGTGGCGTAGTGGGACGGCCACTGGCATTGAACGTACGAAGGTCTTGCGACATGTGAGGGTGCGTCAAACCCCCCACCCATTTGCTTGACCCTTAACATGATTATCGTTTGTGTGTACTCTTATCGTTTTACACGACTTTCGGACTGCTACGAGCATTCGTTATCGCTCTTTTTTTAATCTTATCGTTTTACAAGGGATTTGATTTGCTCTCAAAATACGGACGCATCTACTTTAAAACATGCCCTCGGGTTCTTATCATCCCTCATGTCGGGGCTAGTGTCAGGCATGTCTGGGCGGAGACGGGCTCAGTCGCTCCGCAATCTGAGCCGAAGACTCTTACGGAACGTGGGCTCACCGGGCACTGTGTGCGATTCGACGAACAGCTACCTACGATCCAAATGCGTTCAGTCACCGCAGCAGCGAACAGCCCCCGGCGATGACAGCTCGGGGGCAGAGAACGCTTCCTAGCGCTTTGCACCCTGGAACAGGTCCCGATCCAAGGCCACATACTGGACGTGGCTTGATATGATCCGATCCGTGAAGTCGATTTGGAGCTCCCCGGTTCAGGACAAGCAGAAAATTGCACGGCCTTGTGGCCGCTTTGGCGCGTCGTGGGTCAAGCGTCACATATCGAGGCTTTCAATTCACACTTGGGGTCTAAGGTGTCGTCAAGCTTGCGAGCGTTTTCGGGTTGGGTTGGGGGTTTCATGACCGTTTCACAAACTCCAGCGCGGCTCATCAGCAAAGAAACGACGGATCAGCGCATGACCTTGACGGTCAAGGGCAGTTTGGATGCCGTGGCAGTTGCCAGGTCATGTCAATCATTTAAGTCAAACGATACACAGCCAGAAGGAGCTGGGAATTTGCCTGAATCTACAGGGCATATTGTGCTGAAACCAGATTTAAGGCCAAGACGAGCTCTCGTCACGCGATCGTCCCATTGATGCCACGCTCGCTGTCGCCGAGGTGGTCCTGTAATCCCGACTCAGTTTCTCTTTCCTTTACTCTCAAGCCATCACGCCTGCACACCAGAACATAGAGACACTTCCATTCCACTGCTCGAAACTCAACCCTTGTGCCCTTTCCGCTGTCCGGCAGTGCGGAAAGCGCCTTCTGCAGCTGCCTGGCAGCCTCCAGCAGACCAAACAGGACCGTGTTTGCTGCGCATCAAGTATGCTGTCTGGCTTTCGTCCCCGAAAACTTCCCCTGAAGGCTTAGGCCTCTGTCGTCTGCGAAGCTGTAACACCGGAGTGCGTGTTGGTTCTGCGGTTGCCTTAGACTCTTAGACGCGCCCGGAGCTACAGCCACACAACTCGCACGCCTGCCCTTCTTTGCCCTTGCTGCTTGATCGGTCTATCGCTGAGTCCCGCTCTGTGTCGAACAATCCGCGACTCGGTGCTCAGCTTCCGCCCTTGGCACGCTCCCACTCCACTCGCCCCCGAGGACTTCACGCTTGGGACCCCAAGGCCAAAGACGACCTACAATTATCATGACCCTGGCAGACACAGCATGTCCACGTTCTGGAGTGCTACGACCCCGAGTAGCTCCCCCAGGTGCCGCGCTCAGAGAGGTGGCGAAGGTCATTCTCTGACTCTGACCACCTACTTCCTCCTCGCTGGCATGGCCGGGTCCGGAGAAAGGGAAAGCGATGTGCTCACGTTTGAGGGATACTGCGACCTAAGGCCTGCATCCTTCGTGTGCTGAGTCCTCATCGCTGGGGTTCTGCGGCAGCTGCGGGATCTCCTCGGTGAAGACATGTCCTCGGCACGCAAATGCAGGTCATGTGTCTCCACGATCTTCGCAAATTTCCATGCAGGCCTCCACCAAGGCCCTCCAAATCTGTGTGTGGCAAAGGAGGCCCGGCCTTCGCATGGAGCCGAGGACATGTCTTGCGTGCGCGCGCATCAATGTGCTTGCAGCTCCCCCCAAGGCCTCTTCGAGGCGAGCAAGGACCTGGTGTTGGGCAAACGGTCCCCCAATAAACCCAGAGGAGCAGCTCCGCGGCCTCGTCCAGCCCCCGGCGGATAATCTGGGGTTTCTTTTTGGAAACAAACCTGGGATTCATGGGCTGGGTCAGCGAACGCAGCAGGACGCAGCTTCTACGATTCTGCAAGCTCGAGTCCACTCAATGCAACTGGCAAGACGGAAACCAGAATTCAATCGAATCTTTGTCGACGAAATGGGCCAGGACTCTTGAGATGCAGATGAAGCTAGCAGAAACCAACGAGGAAGCCAGGAGCATCAGTAGTGCTAGCCAGCATGCAAGAAGAACACGACTGTCTGCTTTTTCAACGAGAACTGCTGATTGAGCACAACGGGTAGCACTACTGCTGCACAGCCTGAAGGGTCAGCAACGGCTGCCCGACATGATTCCACACCTAGCCAGGCTCCCCATATCCAGCTAACCATAGCTTACACTGGTGCAGCTGCCGCCCTATCCGCGGCACTGGGCGAGTGCATCGGCGCTCAAGATGAAGGGTCAGATTGGCCCCCGGTCGGCCATGACGCGTTCCGTGTGTTCCTCGTTATGGCAGGAGAATCGAGTTCGTACCTAGTCGTACCCATCCGCCCAGCAGATTGGGCAGGATGCCTGCCAAGAATTTGCGTTTGCGTTCCCGGCACCGATGCTAAGCTACAAGTAATCTGGCTGCCGTGCTGGTACAGTGGGCTGAGGAAAGTCTCGTCGTCTCTTCGTGGGTGCTTCCTCGCGTAGCCTTCGTCCAGCAAAAGAGGTTTCGTGGTTTTCGTGCCGTACGGAAGATACGGGCGAAAGGGCGACGACAAATGAAAGACCAAGTTGTCGCAACAGCATTCGGTTGATAAAACCGCGGTGTTGCGTGAGGGCTGAGCTGTGCTGCCGCCGTCGCCCACGGCTCACGCTGGAGAGCCGTCTCGTCGTCAAGACGCAGGCCGTGCCGCATGCATTTGTACGGCAAGTTGGCTAGCAGTAATAGGCATGAGCTGCACGGTGAAGTGATTCCACCATACGATGAGCAAAGATGCACCAATGTTAGGAAGAAAGCACGCTTGCATCGCAACGTGGGAATCTGCCTCGTCACGGGGGCCGTCCAAAGTGCAAAAGTGCGCGCAGTAGAGCGTGGTGGAAAAGAGATCAGCTGCGGAATCTGCCATCAAACTGGCCATTCGTGGGATGAGCTCAGACACTGTGTTAAGCAGGCTGCACCGGTGCATCTCTCCACAGAGTCGCTCGAGCACGATGTTCTCTCTAGGCGATTTGTATGGGATCCACAATGGATTCCGTTCTATGCATCAAAGGTGAAGAAACAGATGCAATGATCACGAGGTTGTTTGGCATCCACTTGGATTCGTGCTCTCGCAAGAGGTCCATTTGCGCTGTATGGTTTTTCAATAGTGATCTCGTCGAGGCGGATTCCCTGCCGAATGCGTTTGTAGCTGTACTCACTTGTCCCACACTCGCTGGTGCCATCTTTGCTTCTCGCCACCACCTGTTGTCGGGGACGGGGTTGTTCGCGTCTCACCCCGGCTTCGACAGCCTTGCTACTTGCCTTGCTGGTACCCTGCCAGTGCAAAAGAGAATCGAGGGAACGATGTGGGTGAGAGCATCGAAGTAAAGGGGCTAGCAAAGAATGGGTGAGAATTGGCGCAGTCAACTGAGCTGCAACACAATAAATGAATCTGAATCTTCAAAGGAAGAAGCAAACACGATTCAAGCCACAAGACACCAGCAACAGACCGGCAAGTAGTACTGTATGAGCAATATCAGATGAAGGAGCAAATTTGTGATCGTTCGTATTTGTTCGCCCGGGTTCTCGATCATCGACTCCTCAGCTTCGTCCTTGGTCATTCGATACTCGGCCAATCATGCCACAGCTGACCAACGGCAGACTGAAATGCTTTGTGCTAGCCTCGTCAGCTTCTGAAATGTCGTCGTCGCCAACGTCCTGGTTGCTTGTTGTGGACTAGAAACTGGATGGGCAGAGAAACCCCTGCCTGCAAGAAGCCATGGTTTAAAGCCTGCTGGACCGTGGGCCGAAGGGATGGATCTCGAACTAACCTGTGACGACGCTGGCATCTTGGACAAGCATAGAAAATCATGGACACGTGCCGGAAAGCAAAGCATATACGCCGGCCCAGCAACAAGAAGCGGCAGAAGTGCTCGGCGCCTCGGTCATAGCGGAAGCCGAGGACGGGATTCGGGATTTCTCAAGCGTTTCAACGGACAGTGCCGGTCGCAGCGGCTAAGGCTTGCAGTAGTGCTCCGTTTCTGCACTGCGAACAGCCCTTCCCGGACATCCCGGACCTTCGCTTGGCTGGCTGTAGCGCTTTGCCAACTTCTCATTCCTTGCCTGAGCTGACATGGAGCGGGGCAGTGGGGTGCATGCAGCGAACAACAGGCTTGTCACAACAATCGAGCAACGTGACGGCTTAACGGGGACAACCACGACGCCCTCGCGAAGACGAGTCTGGACATGAAACCTGTCAAACACGACAGGCTTGCTAAATCTTTGCTCTGCCGAGCTGGCCGCCAAGCCGCCCAAGTGGGCGGAGGATATGCAAGGACGATGGCCTGTTCGAATCTTTCCGAATGCAGAGTTGGTTTGCTGTGCCTCTGGGACTAACAAGTATATCCACCTGCTCGCCATTAAGGGGTTGCAGCATCTCATCCGCATGCCGCATGCTGCGAAACACTCAACACTCACTTCTAGACTGCACTCAGCCGACAGCTTCTACCCTGCGACATGCTCGTCTCTTTAGCCAGTCCTTCTTCACTGCAGGAGCAGACGGCTGAGCCGGTGAGTAGGGCACATCGCCATACAAGATCACATACCTGAGACACACAGCCAGGCTCAGCGTTTGGAGATGGTCAGTCACTGATTCTCACCATTTTTTCGCGAAACATCGGAAGTGAAATAGCCCTTACAAAGCATTGTGAAAGCTACACCGAGCCGTGAGCGATGCAAGTATTGTGCAGAAAGCTAAGCTGCTCTGGTACGACTCGAAACTTGACGACGCAGTAATCGGAAGAACGTGGCCATGAGTTGAATTGAATTGCAGAACTGACGTCTATCACGGACATGCTGCACTGTCCGGAATGCTAGTTCATCCCAAGCTGCGCTGTGGAAGCAAAGGACCACACGTCTGTCTTGGTGTCATACTTCTTTCTGCCCAGCATCTCTGGCGACATGTAGGGCGCAGTTCCAGACACACCTGCGCGTGGACGGACACGCACGCAGAACGGGCCGCAGCAAGCCATGGTGCGAGAGGGTGCGTTGACACCGCCCCCCCCCGGAGCCAGGACTCGTCGCAGGAACCGAAGATGGAACCGAAGATTAATGAGCGCTGCAGGTGATCCTGTCTCTGCTTTCAGGCACAAGGAGAAGGGAGATTCAACGGCGCACGACGGAAAGAATCACATTGATGCCAGATGAAAAGCAAAAGTAAAGGAAGTCACGGATCTTGACGCGGCGCTGATCCCAAAAGGCGACAGCGCTGTACCCCCCACCCCCGGCGCCTTTGACAGCTCCTCGTCTTGGGAGTCTTACTGCCAAACCGAAGTCCGAGAGCTTGATCGTGCGGCACCTGCGGAGTCGGCCCAAACAGCCAGCGCCAATTCAGTGCTGCTTCTTGTTGTTTTTGAAAAGGCTTCTTTTCCGGGAAATGTGAAAAAAGAACACAAAGCTGACGCGACTCCTTCGTTGACGCTAAAAAAACCCTTTCGGGTTGCATGGATGTGAGACTGAGGCTTTGTTGACGCTCCCGTGATCGGAACGGCCCTCCTGTGGGCCTGGCCTGCCTGAAGCCCATGAATCCGACTCAACTGCCGATCGGGACCTTTTAAAAAACAACGACGTTCCGTGTAAGTTTCGCAGTGCTACACAAAACCACGAGATGCTTCCAGGGGAGCTTGATGTGTGCGGCAATGGGCCGGGGGTTTTCTCCTTTATTGTAAAGCCTGTCGAAAATGAACCGGCAGATCGATCAAGCATAACTGAAAAGCAAGAGACAACAGCATGAATCCAATCAGATTGGTGGAGAGGTTCGACCAACTACGCTCTCAACTGCCGTTCAGCCGCCCGCAGCCCTAGTCACAAAATGAGTCGCTTCGATTGAATCCTGATTCACTGGATGGCAGTGCCTTGCTGGATTTCTTCAACCGTTAGTTGTTGGCCAGGTCATGTCACAACTCCCTCCTTATGTGGGTGTTCATTATCTTACAGCTCATTTTCGCAATCGGGAGATAGTCGCATGTCTCTAGAGACATTCCTTGCCCTTTGGAGGTCTGTGACATGCAATGCAGCTGCGAAAGATGACGCCTCTCACCCCCGTAGAGGAAGTTGTCCAACTTGATGTCTCCTCGGCAGTACCGATGGAGCAGCGATTCGCAAGCCCCCCCCCCCCCGTACATCAGCTTCAACTCCCTGCTCACACTGCCAAATCCCCTGCAGCAGTGAGCAGAGCACAGCTGGACCATTGGCAGCCGAAGCGCGATGAACAATCTGGGCGGCGTGACATGCCCCGATGCCCAGTAGCATCTGACCTGGAAAAGCGATGTACAAATTCCGGGAAGTATGCTCACGCTGTTCCACTTGCCTGATCTCGAAAGTCTGTGGGCATGGGAAATCCAAAAAAAGTGTTCACAGCTCCCCCCCCCCCGGCGNNCATGTCAATAGCTCCCCCCCAACGGCCTTTAGGCTTGTGTCCGAGAGTCGAAACATGCGCCGGAGATTTGTCTCCGTGAGTTTCGGCATGTCACACAGACTGTCCATCAGCGAACCGTAGCACCTTTTCCAATTGCAAACAGACTCAGTGCATGCGGCTTTCACTCGTTTGAACCTCTGCTTTCAACACATGCTTGCAGTTTGATTTTCTGCCCCAGTGCCTTTCCATGATCATGTAGAAGAGGCCGGGAGTTTCCAGGTATGTTTCATACCTCAGGAACCAACCAGGCCTTCGCACGCAAGGCCCGAGGTCTGCTCGACAAGAACAAAGTGATCGGTATCTTGCTAGAGAACGGCTGGAACAGAACTTCTGTGAGCTGAATCACAGGGAAGCTCACAGACCCCCCTTTGCTGGTTGCTGGCAGGAGGCAAGGCCACAACATGCGGATGCCCGGAAACTTGGCCCAGTAGCTGCGACTCCGTCCGTGCCTCCCTGCGCTGCAACAAGCCGCATGTCAACTTATGGACTGTGTCAGGGAACCAGACCGACCACGAAAGCTGTCAAAGGCAAACGTAGGACATACTATACACATGTCTCGACACATCCAGGTCCTGATTCAGACTGGCAAAGGGACTTCCTCTCTGCAGCCTCCGATCCGGCACCAGGCTACTAACAGGGCCCGGGCTTCAGGATTTGCATGTCCATAATCGCATCCTCGGTCGGAGAGGGGAAGCAACTCGATTAGAGCATTCCCGATACAAACAACATCTGGCGCACGGCTGACCACTTCTTAAGTGATTTGCAGTGCTGAGGCTCATCCCCAGACCGGCGCACGTCCATGATCTTCACAGCGTACATTTCACCGGTGCTGATCCTGCTTCGAAGGGCCCGGAAAGGAGTTCTGATTTGATTTCCTGATCTTAGGAGCTTGGCAAGGGATGCCAGACACGTGATCCACACTACCGATCAGCATTGCTTCAGGCTCCGATTAAGCTCTCAATGCCAGAATGACACCCGTTTTCCCGCGCACCGAGTTGTGAGGCGAACTTGTCCAAAAGCGCCCTCGCCAAGCTTTCTCCCCAGCTTGAAGCTCTGAAAAAACCTAAGCGTCTGCCCAGCAAACACATTGTAAGAAGCATGTGCTGCCTTGTTGCATGTCGCTCATGTCACGGGAAGAGCATCCAAAGATTTCCCCGCCTCTCTCCCAAGATCTCCCGAGTATTCGTGCCATACTGGGTAGTCTAGGCTTACTTGAACTGGGCAGTCTAGGCTTACTTGATCCCTACACGACGAAGCCATGGGACTGCTTCAAACTGGGCCCCGGGCTGCCCTGTGGTTGGTGCTAGCTCTATAGGCTCAACCGCCTGGCATGCGATCACAATGGATTTGGTGGAGTGTGCAGCATGATTCTTCAAGCTGGCTCTGTTTGCGTTGCTGAATTTCCCGAGCCGCTGTTGAATGAACCGTACATGGAACATCTTGCCCACTGAGGGTAGCGGGTAGCTTTGCTCCAAGTCCAACATACTTCCGATGGATGGAGATGATCCAACGACTGAAATCCACACACGGAAAGTTAGGATTGGTTTGATCTGTTCGAAGACCAGTGCAGACGCCCAAGACCGAGGGTCAGCAACTTTCGACATGTCGCCTCATGCGCAGCAATGTCCAAGAAGAAAAACGTAAAGTGTACAGCCTTGAACCTGCCTTCCTAAACCACAACGACTGGCCTCTACCTGATGTCAGATTGTGGCAAACATGCAGCGGTTGTTCCAGTGCAGTTCACGGCACAGTTCTGCAAAACCCGATAGTCGAAATGGGGTCCTCGGCTTAGCCCCAGCCATCCAGACATCGCACAGTTCAATAGATATAAATATAAATATAACTAAACAGCTCAGCCGCATGACCAACCATATACAGCCGCTACCAGGATGTCACAAGCAATGTCCGCAGGTACGTGGATTGAGCGTCCCCAATCCATATCACGACAAACTGGAAAGGTCTTCGTTGGGCAGTGCCTTCCAGAATGTCCCCTCCCCCCTGCTGTTCTTTCTGTAAAACAGGCTTCCGATGTTTATACATGTGTAGCAAGCGTGAGGTGAACATGCTTGGATACAGGGCTGCCACGAACACACGCACAGATGTAATCCATTACGAAAAACGGGTTCCTCTCAACCAAAGCAGAATCAGCTGCGATTTTGAAACTTTCGGTCAGCTTCCCAGCCTAACAAGCTCCAAACCTCCTATAAAAATAGTCATGGAGCCGATGCAGCGGTAAAGCAAAGTTGGGCCCACGTACACCCAAAAGCACCCAGCCAACGGAGCCGGGCCCACGGCTGAAGAACAGCCGCATCCCATGGCTTTCAGGCCAGGGCCTTAGCCGAAGACGGCATGGTTTTGACGGCTCTGGCGCTCCATCCGGCAAACTCTGAGCCACTCAAGATGAACCTAAATGGAAGAAACCATGGATGCCTGGGCAAAGGGCATTGCAGGCCGAAAGTTTCGATTCTCATCCACACAGGACCACGAGCTGAGACAGCTTCGAAGCCAGAGTCCCAGTATATAGGGACTCCGGTGCAACTCCTGTACAGACCTGTACAGCTTCGCGCAGGACTCCGGACTTGAATCTTCTTCCCCAAGGCATCCGGACTTGGATCCTCTACCACTGAATCCCTTGTCAGACATTGATGACGAACTCCTGCAAGATCGAGCGATGGCACGCGCGTTGACACTGAATGCTCCCGAATGCTTGTACGAGTTGCCGGGTACTTGTTTGACTCCTCGTCCGTGCATCATGGCATATTCAAACTGCCAGGCTGTCAGGTTTCTCGCGCAGCCGCAAGAGGCTGTCTATGATAAAATCGATTCGCTTGCTGCAAACTGGTTTTGCCAGGCATTGGTACTTGGTGTTAATCTCACGCAACCTCCGAGCAAGAGTGCTAAACGTCTCCATCCCACGTGAGGTCTCATCCAGCTTGCAACCGACAATGCGAAACAGTTCGCAAACGCATTCAATGCGATACTCTTCCGGCCAGGGCCGTGCCGCATCGTCCAGGCCAATAAGCTCTTCAACAACGTGATCCAGAACTCTTACTGCCAGTAGTTGCTTCAAAAACAGATGCCCCATGAACATCATGAGAGCCCGCAGCATCTCACTTGTCCTTCTCGTCTCAATCCCCAGCTTCAACTCAGCGGTGTGTGCAGAGCGACCTGTTTGACCAGACTCCAGCTTTGCCAGCAAATCTTCAAACTCGGCCTGGACAGTGTTCAAAAATATTCGAGCAAAACTGTGAGGCTTCATGTCACCTTCCGCCGGGAAGACTTGGTATTTGTTCCAAAGCCCACTGACCAGCTCTGCGTACAGATCGCCTCATCTTGCACACGGAAAAAAGCAAGACTGCAGGAGTCTTGAGAGGTTCGCTTAAAAGAAGAGAGAGAGAGAGAGAGAGAGAGAGAGAGAGAGAGAGAGCCCACCGACGTCCCATTCGTGGGAGAAAAAAGCAAAGCATAGTGTGCAAATGTAGTGTCTGAAGTAAGGCTCTGCCAGCACTTTGCGAATCAGTAGTGTGACGATTTGCTGCAGCCGATCAGCACTTTGAACCTGCGCTGCACTGCATGCACATGGATGTTCATCAGAAAGTTTTCCCATCAGTCGAATCTCTCTTGACGTGCCTCCACCCGCACCAAGCCGTCTGTTGTCAGCCGGACATTCTCCCAGCACAATTTGTTCAACTTGCTGCGCCTCACGCCGGCGAAGTCAACCCTACCTATGCCGATATGCTCAGTACAAAAAGCAACAACAACGTCTCAAAACACACGGCCGACAAAGCCACGAGCCAGTTGGACAGCTTGAACCATGCTGCTTGTACACTGAACACAACACAGTGCATCCCCAAGCTGGATGCGTGATCAGCGTAACAATTTTCGTTTGGAAACACACTGTGGCTGCACGACACAAGTTGCATTCAGTGAACTATCCTTTCGGGGACTGCATCAATGACGACTGCAAGCTCGGCATGGATGCAGCAACCGACCCAACGGCCACAGGCCGTTGTCAAACACAAAAACTAACACACACTGAGCACAAGTGTCCTACACCTACTTCCTTGGAAGCAGGATAGACTTCAAGCCACCTGATCCAGCCAGCCAGCTTTGAACGAGGGTGCAATGTTCAGATATTGCGCTTCGAAAGCCACTCGCAGCCGCCTCTCTCGGGCACCTTCTTATTCACAAGGCCCAACATGTTCGTTCAAGGACTTCCAACTCAACGTAAGACCCCCATGTCGAACAGACTCTGCTGAGAAGATCCGAAAAGTTCCCACAGAAGTCATTCGTTGGACGTCGGCATGGCGCTTGTGATTCTACTATTCTTCTAATCCTGCCGAGGTACACATGGCTTTCAAGTCCCTCCGCACGTTCCATGACCACATCGCCGCGAGACAGGGAAACAAGATCTGAAGCCACAGAAGTTTGAGCCAGGAGTTTTGGCTGTCAAGACACGTGGTCCAAGCAGTGACTTGGTTTCTCATGCACGAGGCCGCAAGGCCCCGACCGTTCGGCCCTCAAGGACCCCAGCATTTCCCTGGACTCATCAGCACGCTTCTTGCGAGCCGAGACGGCCTGCAGAGTGAACTTGGAACCTGGAATGGTGGTGATTTGGTGGTTCCATGGCGCGTTGGATATGCATGGCACTGGTTATTGCGAGGATTCGTTCATGCTTGTTTTTTTGCAAGCAAACACGACTGCGTGGCAGAACTGGCACAGCTTTCACGCCCTTTTTCCGTGTGCTCACCATCAGGCAAACCAGACTGCAGCGATGATGCGAAAACGTCCATTGCCGCTTCGGTGGCCTCCAGGAAACTGGCAGACAACTGGAACGCAACGGCAAGGGGTGCACAGGGGCTGCGGTCAGCCGAGGTGCGCCCAACTCCCGGCACAGGCTCATGCAGCGAGGTGCACCGACAGCACGCATCATAGTGCCTCAGAAGGCGCAACCTGTCTGCAGCTTAGGCCTCCAGTCGCATTCTCTTATCTTAGCCTATACTCGTAGGTGATGCTAGCTTGGGCAAGGGGCGGATGAGCTTTGCATCAGGCTTCAGCCCAGATCTGATCGCTTGGCGCAGAAGATCCTCTGCCTCCTCGCGGCGCCTGCAACGACGGTCCAGAAAGCCTGCCGTCTGCACGCGAATCTCCCCACCTTGGCTGGCTCTTCGCACACGCCTCGATGGCTGAGGTCCAAGTGATGAGGTTCGGAGTCACGGCTAAGCCCTGCATTTCCTGAAGCCAGGTGGGTGGTCCGCGACGACCCTACAATTTTAAGTGTCCGGGTCCTGCAGCAGCGACCCAACACGATCAGCTTGAGCAGTGCGGGCGAAGGCCTGAAGAGCACACTGGGAGAACGCACGAGCGTATATAGGCTTGGAGCTTAACGATCACCTCCATCATGAGCATTCCACAAGTGATCCGGGGGCCAGACCAGCCTGGCCCAAGCTGGGTGGACAAAGCTGTTGCAACGGAAAATACGTTTCCAAAATTTACCTGGAGGCATGGAACCTGCCAGGCGCTGGTCTGCATCCTGGAACCGAGATGCAGCTCGGAAAACTGGAAGCCGTCCGCCAAAGTTTTCACTTGTTTTGCATTCTCTCAGGCATGGTTTGGAAAGTAATCCAAATGTGGTCCACAATTGCCCCGAAAAGCACAGAACACTTTCGGAACGTTTTCAGAATGAATAGAGTCGGATGCAGTTCCAGCAATGCCTCACAAGCATTCGTGCATTCGGGTCGGCCTGGGCAAGCTGCACACCTGTTGCTAAAATGCACCCGCAGGCCGTAAGCCCCCGTGTCGCCTGCCCCCCCCCCTCTCCCCCGTTTCTCTTCAGGCAGGCAAAGCCGCTTCCCCCGTCAGCCAGGCTCCCTTTATTCGATCTCGGCTCCATCGCAAGCTTCCGTTTGCACGAACGGCGCCTCAGCTTGCGCAAGTGGCGCTTCCCGAGCCTCGCTTTGCATGTGGAGGGGTTTCGCGAGTTTCGTCTGGTGCATCCCGAGGTTTTGACCGGTGGAGCCTCTCGAGCCTCGAGCCCCAGTTCGCACATGTCAAGCCTTTCAAGCTTCGGCCTCCCCATTGCCAGGTGAAGGTCACTTTGGGACTTTCCGTGTCTCAGACATGGGAAGAGCCGGAGTCCTGCGATCCTAAGCGCCCGTTCTGGGCTGATGCCGACCCCACTTGCCTTCGGGGGTCGGCAACGGCGTCAGCCCTTGAAAAGATGGCGTTAGTAGTTAGTACGAGCAAGTTAAAAGAAGTTGGCATGCATGCCTTGCCAATCCTTGCCACACATCAATGGATGAAAAGAAAAAGGTTGCGGCCAGCATTTGGATCGCCCTGCCCTCGTGCCTTCAGAACCGCAGAATAGGCAACCACATTTGGCTTCGAAGCTTGAGCCTCAGCCACGAGGTCACGAGGATCCAAGCATCAACTTTGCTTGGGCGGGACGACCTTCCCTCCACCAGCACGGGGACATGTATCCTTCAATCCGGTGTCTACGACTGGCTGACAGGCACGGATCCAGAAAAGCTTGCACTGCAGTCCAGAGGCGGCCAAATCACGAAGCAAAGCCAGCGCCCCATCGGCATCGCTTCGCTTTGCATATGCATTGATCAGTGCTGCCCAGGCTACGCAGTCCGCCTTCATGGCCAGATCATGCCGAAGCCAATTCCGTTCCGAGGAGGCTCACATTACTGCCATTTGCAATGCAGAACCTGGAAAACACCTGCATTTCCTAAGGTCACCTGAAAACTTTCCCGACCGAGGTAGTGCTTCCGGCCTGGAGGCCAGAACTCTGCATGTGCTCCATCCACTGCGTCCTGGAAAACCCAAAGCTTTCTGGCCTGTGGACGGCTCTCGGGCTCCGGGTTAGTCAACGAAGAAACCAACTAGTCGAAGTAGCGTCAGCCAAGCATCGCCTCCTCAACCTTCCCTTTTTTTGCACAGGCATGGATAATCGCCTCGGATCCGGCAGTCACAAAATCTTCCAGCGCATGCCCTTCCAGAAATCCAATGGATTCTTACACCCCCCCAAGCCCTCCCCACCCACCGTGTAGGTGACCACATCAGCATCAAGACCACGCCGCTGCATCTCTGATAGCCACTTGGAAGCGCCTTGGCTGCACCAGGACATAAAGACGTCACTTGGGCAAGTGTCGTTCAAAGCTAGACTTGCCACGCGCTCAAGACCAAGGACTGCAGGATGTCTTGAGACTTTTAGCATGACGGCCTATGACCGCCTTCAAGGATGACTGGAACGCTGCAGGTCTTCGCCTCCATCTCAGCAAGACTACCCTTCTGCAGCAAAGAATCCCGACACATCGCCCAGCTTGGCACAACATTTGATGAGCGAGGTAAACGTGATGGTGTCGGGCGATATGCCTGTACCAACGGGCGCATGTAACAGACCACAGAGAAAACACCCCAAATCAAGGTGACAGCAACCTGGCCGAGTAGTTGAACAAATTCGGGCTCCCACATCGCAGGCCACAGCACAAGGGTTCACACATCAGCAACACGAATAGCTGGCGTTGACAAAGTATCGAGGCATTAGACTCATCATTAGACACGGTGACACAAGGCCGGTTGAAGAGGAAGCCCCGGGAAGGACTGACACGAGCCCGACATAACCGAGAATCCAATGCAGGGATGGTTTGCTACTCGGCACGTCGAAAGTCTTTCCCAGCAGCTGGCTTGTGGCCGTCAGCTGGTATATCCGTCTCATGCGCTGCTTTCGAGCTTCCTGATGTCGATCAAGTAAATACGCCCCATGGCGTAGTCGTGAGTGGCGGCAAGGTAGCTTGGTTGTTGTGGACTGTTGCTTGTTGTTGTAGCGCAAGCAGTCGGAGGAGCACTGATGAATAGGCTCTATGCGTGTGATCTGCCTTCTTCTTGCACAGACAGTTTCTAAGCAGGGAGGTCAGCAAAGCAAGGCCTGTCGAAAATCCCAGGAATCTTGCTGCTAGGCCCTGAGCATCTCAGACTCCCTACCCCGGTCTCACATGATCTCGGCCGGGCTCGCTCCGCATACGGTGCTGATCCCGACAGGTCGCTACACCACTGCTGAGAGTACATGGCTCTTGGCTCGTTGCTGAACATCTCGAGTGTGTAGCGCCCGGCCGTGGAAGTTGAAGTTCTGAATGTGCGCCCTTGCTTCAGCCTTAACCAATTCTCTTCACGCGTCGGAGCTCCTTTCGCCTTTCTGATGTCTCAGTATTGCAACCTCCTCCACACCGGCCCCTTCCTCATCAAACCCTGACCGTCTAGCTCAGACAGTTTGTCCCACGACTGTGCACCAGGAACGGCCAGGAACGGGTGGCGGGATCGGAAAGGGCGAGCAAATCCGAATGTATCCGCAACGTTCAAAGGACCACCTCAACCTCAGCCAAAGCCTCAATGTGAACGCTCGTGCCGCTCCGGCAAGCCCCTCAACTTGGGATCGCCTTGAAAGCCTCCACCGGACCTGTGTAAGGTCCACATCAATCCACACATGTGCAGTTGGGGCCGCCTTCTAGCAACGAGGACCTAGGCAGGACACTGCCATACACCACGCCTCGACATGAAGATCACTGGCGAAACAGCTCGAGTGAATGATGAAACGGAGGCTCTTTGCGTTCTGATCTTCATTTTCAGCAATGAAAGAATGAACAGTTTTGGCATGCAGACATGCGAAGAACACCACACACATGAATGCGAACGACGATGCGACCTCGTGCCACATGCTGTGGCCGGTACAAAGAGTGCAACATGAGTGCAAGGGATATCGATACGGGCAGGAGAGATGGCCTGAATGCACAGCTCTGCCTAGCGAGGTTGCCACTGAACTCCAGAGTTTCGTTGACTCCTGTGTTCGGGTGCCGAATTTCTTTGTGCGGCTTCTCTGTTTTCCACTGCTGATGCACGTTCCTTCCGCATGCGGAAACCCCCAAAAACAGAAAGTGGTGCAGTGCCTTAGAAAGACAATAGGCTTGGGGATGCCGCCTGCGGCATTCATTTGTTGCAGCAGCCTCTCTGCCGCGGCCAGATCTCCATGTTTTGCATAAGCATCGATCCTGGGAAATAGGCACTCGCTTCACTCGCTTCAGCCACAAGATGTGGAGAAACATCCGGATGAGCAACGATTGCGAGATATATGCCTATAGGCTTCAAGACTGGGAACTGCATAACTGTGCAAGCCTCAACCAGCGTGCCGAGTGGTTTTTGTCACTGCAGTCCGGCAAGTTGTATGGGGATCAGCACCACTCTGTCTGCAAGATGCATTGTGCTTTGATTGTCGGCTTCTCTGCCGCTGGCCGTTCAGTACTGCCATGCAAGAGGCCTGACCCCCAAAGCAAGAAATCAAGGACTGAATGCATCGGCTCGATACGCAAAAAGGGCTTAGCCCTACGCATCGAGAGTCACCACACGGCAGCCCGACTCAGAGGCCGATGTCCAGAATCATCGCCACACCCGCGAGAACCCACTTGTCCGATGGCGCCTGGGCAAAGCAAAAGCTTCGGCATTCCGGCTGGAAATCTTGCATCTTCTCGGCACAAGAACATTCGAACCTGCCTTGGTGCGAAGCTGTGCTGCGAACACGAAGTACGGCCGACGAGTTGGCACGCAGTACGTAGGGCAAACGTAAATGTTCTTGTCCACTTTGTCGCTCGCCATTCCTGGAGTTGGGGGGTTACGGAACAACTTCAGGTCAAGTGCCCAAGACCTGAGGGCTGATGCGAGAAAATGCCCCACAGGCCTGATTTCCTTGCCCGATCAAAGCAAAAAAGTCCTTCTTTCTATCCGGTGCTGCCGGAACACCTGCCTTGCATGTGATCACCGGCATGCCGGTGAACATCTCCTTCGGCTTGGAGTCTTCCAAGGAGTTGGAGGTCATGTCCCAGCGAGCGCCCTCCAAGTACATGCCGGACCTCTAACAGCCACGGGGCTTGATTGGCAGGGTTTCGCAAAACTGATAGACCGTCAAGATAGCATTCTTTAGGCAAGCGGCACGTAGGCTCCGTCCTTGCAAGGGGCCTCAATTTGCTTGGGCTCCTTCTTCGTAACATCCGTGAAGACCTGTCGGCTTGAGTCATGTCTTGGACCCTTGCTGCTCAGCTCTCGCAACCTTTCTGAGATCTTCGTGTCTGTTTCTGCATGCCGAAGGCACTTGCAGCTTGTCGAGCTCCAAGCCCACATTCTGACAGGTGATCTGTTTGATGGCGGTCAGGTAACTCTGCGGATTGAAGAGCTTGGAGATATCCACAACCTGCACAGCGCATGACAAGACATACATGGCGCCACAAGAAGTTGACGTTTCGGCACACGAATGGATCTCAGAAAGCCTCAAATAGGTGAGCCAGCCAGCTGAAAACATCACAACTGTGTATTGGTGCTGTAAACTCCTGCTTGCAGCTTGCCTTCGGAATGTTGAGCGGGTCGTTGATCCAGTCATCCAGCTGCGCATATCGCTCCTGCTACGGGCTGCGGCCGGAATGCTTCACAGGTCTTGATTGCCGAAGCTCATTGATATCTCTTCATCCGCAATGCTTCACAATCCCCCATGTCTCCCAGACTTCAAAACCCACCCAGCCCGGCATAAAGTTCGCCTGCAAGTTCACACGCCAGGACTTCAGAGGACGGGTGGACGCGAAGCCAAGCTTAATCCACCACATTGGCAGCCTGAGTCTAAGGCGCGCAAGAGTCTCGGAGGGTTGACTGGGGGTCTGCTCTCACTTTGCGGCTCCGGCGGACACTGGAGCCAGCGCTTCTGTGAGGCTCGAACTACCAACGAGTCTGCAGGGATTACTCGTCTGCTTCCGGGATGCTTCTCCGAGTACAGGCACGTGGCCATGTCTTCCATGCCTTCCAGAATGTGTGTACGTCGTGCACGTGTCAATACAAGTTCCGCTACAGCAAAATGCTTTGCAGCAGTTCGGGACTTGCGATGACAATGCGGAACATCGTGAAGCAAGGTGGGTGCAGAGAGAGAGAGAGAGAGAGAGAGAGAGAGAGAGTGGGAGTGGGAGTGGGAGTGG